GTGCGTGTGATTCTCCGTCTGCTTTCTTTATAAATATATCTAGGCATATTCTATCAAATATATGAAAATGGTTATAAGCCTGTGACTGTATCTCACGGTGTACATGCAATTGGGATCAGAGCCAGATTTGGCTGGGAAGGTTTCCTGGAAGAAGTGAGGGTTTTTTTTGGGGGGGGGAGGGAGTTTCAAAGGGAGGTAAGTATCACACTTTGGCAGAAGGAAGAAGCATACATAAAGCTTCCAAGGCTGGAGTGATTAAGTCAGACGTATTCAGTGAGTAAGCGTGAACTGTGTGAGAGCAGATTGTAAATTAGTGGTTGAAAATCGCCAGGCCACCAGGGAAGGAGAGGTGAGGGCTGTGTGTGAAGGAGGACGGGAGAGGCTTGTGGGCGCGGCTCTCTGTGTTGCTAGCAAATTTCACGCCTGGATACCCGTGTGCGCTGACCATGTTGCCATCTAGTGGAGCCGGCCGAAATGCACCTGCTACCTCTTTTCACTTCAGGTTAAATAATGTGGTATCTTAGCAGTAGGGAAGCTCTTTTTCCCCCCAGGAATTCTAAATAAGGAATTAGAGGAGATGGATGCAACTGGGCGCCCCCCAAATGATATTAATTTGACTCTAGGAAATAGAGCTGAATCCCAATAGAAAGCATTTCTTATAGACGATGTTTGGTCGTGGAGTCCATCGTGGTACGGTGGTGGCGGAGGAAAGCCCTCCCACCAGAGGCACCACAGCCCAGAGACCTCAGGGCTGGAAGACACTGTAGAAGGCCGTACCCCTACCATCCTCCCTTGCATCCATCCATGCCTGCATCCATTCAGCAGAACTTCTGAGTTCCTGTTACCTATCAGTCTCTCTTCCAGGTACTGGGGATATACCAGTGAGGAGAGCAGTTAGAGATCCTGGCTCATGAGAAAAAATAAAGAAATAAAATAGAGAAATCAAGAAATCCCTGCCCTCGGAGCACTGACATTCCAGTGGGAAAGATGGACAATAAACAAAGAAGTAAAATATATAGTAGGTGGGATTCTGCTAAGTGCTAAGGAGGAAAAAAATTTTTTTAAGTCTAAAGTCGGGGATAAAGATTGTTGTACATGTCTGTGGGGTGGTGGGGGCAGAGAGAGGATTTGCAATCTTGTGTCCTCGCTGAGATCGTGATATTAGTCTCTCCTAAAGGTTTGAGGAAGCCAGACATGGGAAGATCCTGGGGAGGAGCATTCCAGGCAGAGGGCAAGCAGATACAAAGGCCCTGAGGTGGGAATGGTCCTCATGTGTTCCTGAAACCGCAAGGGGGATGGTCAGAGGAAGGACAAGCCAGAGAGATGGGAAGGGGCCAGATCAGCTTGGGCCATGGGGACGGTTAAAACGAATTTGACATTTCCTGGACATGGGAGGAGAAGCCATTCCATCTAGCCTGATCTCTTTGACAAATGAAACTTAGGACAACGAAATCAGGTCAGGTGTCCGTGGTTAATCAGCATCATTGTGCCGGAGCTGGGATGAGAACGTGCCTGCTAAGCCAGCGTTCTTCCTGCTGGCCTAGCCTGCCCCGATGGGGATGCAAGACCCTGTGGAGGCTCAGGCTTCCAAGTGCAGTGGTCCCGAATTAGCCCAGTGCTGTGGGGTGCTCCAGCAGCTGCATGTCAGCTCGGTTCATCCTGGTCCTTCCCTCAGGATGACCACGGCACGCGGAACGGAGCAGACCCCTTACCTCTGAGGGCTCCTCCGCCAAATACTGCCCTCCTTCATTTTGGAGATAAATCCTTTGGGTTTCGCCAGTGGTGAGACCCCTAAATCTCCAATCTCATGAGGGCTCCCTACGTTCATTGTGCAGTTACTTGGATATGGTGAACGTAAGATATTTCTGTCTTACAGGGGTGGATCACAGTTCTCATCATGAGAGGTAGTAAGATTGAATAGTGAAAGTTATTTAAAACGAATTTGAAAATAGGAGCACCTGGGTGGCTCAGTTGGTTAAGCGTCCGACTCTTGATTTTGGCTCAGGGCATGATCTGAGGATCATGGGATCGAGCCCCCGCATCGGGCTCCATGCTCAGCGGGGGTCGGCTTGGGATTCTCTCTCCCTCTTTCTCTCTCTCAAATAAATAAATAAATAACATCTTTAAAAAAAGAAAAAAGAATTTGAAAATAGAATCACCAGGTGAGCTGCTGGTTGTCACCAAATGCAGCTGGGCCTGGATGGTTTTGCCCAACATTCTTTGTCTTCTTTCTTTACTGTGAGCCTGTTCAAGCACCGCCCTCCCCCACTTTCTTTAGATCTTATGACCGTTGTCCTCTGGACGCGAGCCAAATCCTCTAATCTCACTTTCTGATGCAGGTCAGACTAGTGCTCAGTATAGCGGAGAACCCGCATGGTCTCCTCTCCTTCATCCGCCACAGCCTGGAGCCCGTATACAGAGTAACAGGAGGTCCTGGCACCAGGTCGGTCCCATCCTGTGGAGAAGACTCATGACTCACTCTCTTGCTCCTTCCTTCCCTTTCTTCCAAAGCAAAGCTCTCAGGATAGGTAATGTGAGGTTTACATCATCTTATTTGGCACGTACATTTGTTTGTATAGTACTTTCTCCCTTTTTTTCTTTTTTTTTAATTTATTTTTTGCCAACCAAGGTAATTTCGTATGTCCATTTGCCTATTTTTTTTTTCAAATGAGCTCTGAAATCCCACTACCTCAGACTATCAGGATCAGCCCTGATTTGCATCCTTGGGAATCCATAGTCCCTTCAGTAGCTAAGCTCTTTGTTTATCCCTGGAGGCAGAGGGCACAATTCCCTGGGATCCTTTGGTTTGGGTCTTTAGGAGAGTGGGTGCTCCTGGGGGTGCTTTTACTGTTTCCTGCCTTCAAATCTTGCTGTTTTTGCAAGGAAGGCAGCCACCCCTTGTGGCAAGGATGTTCCCCTATCGGGTCCATCAGGAGGCTCCATCAGGGATGGTGGGGCAGCGCCATACTGGGAGTGGAGGACCCATGTCCTGTCCCTCAGACTCTCTTCCCTGTCTGTGTCACTGAGGTTGCTCAGCATCCCCCCTGCCCATGAGTCTCTGCTTGGCTACCTATCACTGCCATCAGACAGGCGAGACTTGGCTATGCAGGAAAGGGGGTTTCTAGGCTGTCCTCTGACTTTGTTGGGCAGCCAGCTTGAGGAAATGGGGGAGAAAGTATTGGTCATCTGTGTATCCTGGGGATCCTTTGCCCACTGTCCTTTAGGGGCTGGGCATGTGGTAGAGCCGGCGGCAAGATTAGAAGTCCTCCAGCATGCTCCTCATTTGCTGTCCAGAGTGGTCCGTCAGTTAGGGCTCTTATTATGCAAGAAAGAGAAACCCCAGTTTGGACTGGCTCATACAAAAGAGAATTTTTTATTAGCTTGCATAACTGGAACGGGATTTGGCTTGGCCTCTCAGTGATGTCAGGAACCCATCTTCTTTCTAATCTGCTGTCTGTGGTTGAGTTTCATCCTCAGCTAGCTTCTCTCATGGTGGTTAAATGTCTGCAGCAATTCCGACTTCATACCCCCAACACACTGTCCAGGGGGAGAGAGAGAACTGGCTTCCAGCAGCTCTATCAGAGGTGCGAGTGACCTTTTCCAGAAGCCCCCAGCAAATTTCTCATGTCTCAGTGCCCAATCTTAAGCCAGTTTATTGGCTGTAGAATGGGGTGGTAAGTGGCATGGGTGGCTCAGTTGGTTAAGCTCTGCCTTCGGCTCAGGTCATGATCCCAGGGTCCTGGGATGGAGCCCCGCATCGGGCTCCCTGCTCAGCGGGGAGCCTGCTTCTCCCTCTGCCTGCCGCTTCCCCTGCTTATGTTCTCTCTTTCTCTTTGACAAATAAATAAATAAAATCTTTAAAAAAAATAATAAACCAGTCACTCTATGGCAAGGGGGCTAGGATTACCGTGACTGAGTTGAAATGGTCAGGGTAAACCTGGGAGCTAGGGATGGGCTCAGTGTCTCCCTCAAATAGCGCGCTCCTCCTCAAGGAGAGGGGATAGAAGTGATGTCGAGTGGGCCACGGTTGTCTACCGAACAGACTTCCTTTTGCTGTGGTTTTTTCTGTTTTGTTCTTTTCTCCTGTTGCTTCGTACTTGGTGACTGGCGATGGTATAACAATACAGTGAATAGAGCCCTGCATATTGGATTCCCAGCACCCCCGCCCCCGGGACAGTGACATGGATGCTATCAGGGATAACAAGGACATCCCATCCATGAACCCCAACAGCACTGCAGATCAGGAAGGGAAATTCTCACCGGTCAATAAAGCATCCCCAAAGTACCGTAGACCTGGTCTGGTAGGGACTGAACAATGAGAATAAGAACTAGAGAAAATTAATTACAGGCAGCCCTTCCATCTATGGTAATTATATGTCCCCATAAGACACTGAAGTCCAATATAATTTTTCTTTTAAAACAATGTCATAAGGCCATTTGTTCCTGTAAAGAATACCCTTATGTTTTATAAATAGGAGCTTAATTGTCATATCTGGTTATTTTATATATTTTAATTGATATTCCTGGAGTCTGGATAATGTAGACTTTGAAACTGCACATGAATAAACAAAATAGGGCAGTCGGTCATATAGGATGTTATTTTGTTTCCTCTAGATGATACCTCCAGGAGAATGGCCATCAAAGTCAGGGGAAGGGACTAGGGCTATGTACAAGGGCTCTGGGGGGAGAAAAAGGCACAGTGTACAAAAAAACCCACCACTTTTGGGGCACCTGGGTGGCTCAGTTGGTGAAGCGTCTGCCTTTGGCTCAGATCATGATCTCAGGGTCCTGGGATCAAGCCCCACATCGGGCTCCTTGCTCAGCAGGGAGCCTGCTTCTCCCTCTCCTGCTCCCCCTGATTGTGCTCTCCTGCTCTGTGTCAAATAAATAAATAAAACCTGAAAGAAAGAAAGAAAGAAAGAAAGAAAGAAAGAAAGAAAGGAAGGAAGGAAGGAAGGAAGGAAGGAAGGAAGGAAGGAAGGAAGGAAGGAAGGAAGGAAGGAAGGAAGGAAGGAAGGGGGAAGGAAAGAAAAGAGAAAGAAAAAAGAAGAAAGAAAGAAAGAAAGAAAGAAAGAAAGAAAGAAAGAAAGAAAGAAAGAAAGAAAAGAAAAGAACGAACACCACCACTTTCACGCTGAGTAAGGTGGAGGACGAGACGTATGAGTTTATCTTTGTACATGACCTCCATGAGTAGCAAATGGAATTCCAAACTCCAGAGCCCTGTCCCCAGCCAGCCAGTGTTCCTGCCACATCCCTGACAGAAATAGACACACAGAAGGCCAAGCAGGGCTGATCCGAAGCCCTTTATTATAGGTGGGCTTTGACCCAAACCCTGATGATGACCTCGAGTGGGCCAGACTGCACCTGCAGGTCACCGAAATCCAGGCCAGGACACCGGACTAGGCTGCAGAAGGATGCAGGTGCCTTTAAATGCATGATGCTCTGTCACAGAGAGGCCACCTCCACGGTGGAGGTCTCAGAGGTGGAAGTTCTAGTGCATGTTAAGACACTTGCATGATGAGCTCTGGACGTGTTGTATCAACTTTCCAGGGCCTAATTTCTCATCGATGAGCAAGTCTGAGCTGAGACTGAACAAGAGGACTTGCAAAGCTTCCGGTAAGCCCGCGAGTTCTGGTTCTTGGGTTCTGAGCAGACTGTGATGGGAGGCGTCATTGCGGAACTGTGGTGGGGTGAAGGGTAGGGAACTGAAATCCTCTGTGCCGGGACATACGGACACACAGGTGATGGTAGTTTCTGCATTGCGTGCTACAGGGGTCTTCAAGAGCTACCAAGTGGCCGGACTGGCTGAGGGCTGGATGCCAACAGCTCCAACTTGCGTGTTTAACAACATACTACAGATCCTGGGCAGAGACGCAGCTCACTGAATAGAGGGGCTGTTTCCTTTAACAAGCCCGCCTTGGATGCTGGCTGACAGGCTTGTGTTCCAGATGTCGGGGGTCTTGTGGGAGCCGTGGACAAAGGGGGCGGCGAGATCAGACGGTGACCACTGCTGGCTGAAACTTCTGTTAAAACGTGGTTTCAGAGCCGTGGTCACGTGGCTTCTCTTGGGAGCGGCGAGCCCTGCTGTGTTTTTTGGCCTCCTGTTTTGTTAAGAGTCGGATTACAAGTGGTATTGCACACAGTTGTGGTTTTTCAGTTTTTAGTGCTCTCGTTGCTCAATTACCCAACTCCCAGACGGTTGGCTCTGGAGCTCTACCTTGATGGGAGAGAGATTGTTGTTTGTGTTCTGTGTCCGTCTGGATAAACCAGTGGTCCCAAACACAAATGTCTACAAGAGCCAGGTAAGAAATAAGAATGTGAAATTACTGCTTTCTACGAATAATTGGAAGTCATGACGCCTGGGGCCGACTTGGAGAGAATGGGTCCTATCCCCAGGCATTGACGTTCAGATGAAAAACAACATTTATCTGGTCCAAGAAAACCCTCTATGGCTGGATTCAATCCTAAGGCTACCAGTGTGTGATTCCTGGGCTATGAATCAGCCAGCTTCAGCTGTCATTCACGTTTGCTTAGCCTCAGAGATATCAGATGTTACGGATATGAACCCTTTGTAGTTTTGTGTCTCAGGAGATTTTAGCTCTTTACCTCAGATGACAAGGCAATCCCTGGGCTAAATAGGCCACCCTAACTTTGACCCACAAATTGGAAATCCTTCCAAAGAAATAATGTCCTCATGAATATCATTCCTTTGGTTCACGGCCTTTGGAGGCTGAATCAATTTAGAGAAGCAAAGATGGAAATCTCATTCAAAACAGTTCTGAGTATTTTACATCATTAAAAAAAAAAAATTGTGTCACTAAAAACAAGGAACCTCCAGCATTTGAAAGACATATTCCTGCCTTGCCGGTTGTTTGCTGGGTATATTCACAACTCTTTGCCTTGTCTCTGAGTTAGGCTGGCTTGGGGGTAGGGATCAGGGCGGAATCTGGAATGGGACAAGCTCGAGTTAGCTCTTTCCCACCCCTTCCAAGCCTCCCCACGCTCACGTTCTTAATTTCTGCATCCCTGCTCTCCCCCGCCTCCCCAAGAAGGAACAAAGAAACCAGTGAATTGATTTACACGCTGAGGTGTGAGTCATCCACAGGCCTAAGAGACACTTGTATTTTTCAGAGAACCTGATGGTATAACAGGAAATAGGGCAAAGTTTAGCCAGAAGTCATGCTCCTTTAATGAGAATATTTCTTGTCGTGCTAACTGGATAGTTTGGGGCTGGGGAGACAGCACCTTAATAGCCCTGCTTCAGGTAAGACCCTCTGGACTAACACTGGCCACTGAGCATGGGAGGGGAGGGGGATTCGGCTTTATCCTGTTTTATTTACATTATTCAAACTCCTGTCAGAGCCCATGAAAATTCCTGCAAATGTGTTTTTGTAAGAGACTGATGGTGCCCAGCTCCCCTGTGTCTGGCCAGTGGGAGAGTTGTGGGGATTTAAATATTCCTTCAGCAAAGCCACTCAGTTAGAGCTATGCTAAAACTATGCTCTTCTGAAAGTGCTTACTCACCAGAGTACTGTCTCAATTTCTCCCTTTCTGTGAGACTTCATAAAGGAATAGTCCATAGTTCTCTATGTCCTTAACAGCCGTTTACTTCTGAACCCCTTGCAATGTGGCTTCTGTGTCTAGTCATGTTACTCAGTTGTCTTTTCTCTAAGAATGCCAGTGACCCCCTCATCATCATATCCATTGACCTTTTCTTTAGCTTTCCTTTCTGGTGTATTGTTTTTTCCCCTGTTAGCTCTACCAGGAACCATTCTTCCTTTCTTTCTCCCTTACCTCCCCTTCCTTGGCAAATTCCTCCACCTTCAAGTTTTAGCTTAGGCATCACTTCTTCCAGGAAGCCTTCCCTGATTGACTCCCTCCCCCAGGACTGATTTACAATACTTGTCCTACCAGCTTTCATAGCACCCTGTATTTTTTTGCTTTTGCACTTACATTATATTTTAATTAGTGTCTTCCCCCCTTCCCTGCCTATACATATAGGCTCCATGAAGACAGGCTCCAGTGTTTTATCTGCACCAGTTGCCTTGTACCTGTACATGGTAAATGTTCCATCAGTATTTGCAGACTGAAGAACTTTATAAATGAAGACAGCATCTGAACAGTGCCATCTATGGCTTCTTCTAGAGCAGCTGATGAACCCCCGGCTTCCTCCAGCAAGCTTTGGTTCTCCCTAGGTCCCTTGGACTTCCAATTAGTAGATGTAGAGGGGTTGTTAGATGCTGTCGATAAAAAGTGACATCTGGCTCTGAGGAAGAAGGCAAGTGTCAGGAAATCCTGACCATTCGTAAGCAGCCCCTTCATGACCAGGCAGTAACTCTCCGTGTTGCTTATGTTGGACAAGGGATGGCTCCCTGTTGATGAACCCCATGGAGTGGATGAGGTTTGAGGGTTCTGACCACTAACAGAATAGGAAACACATTGTTCAGAGAGCCAAGCAAGGGGGCACTAATGATTTTATCATCACCATGGAGGGAGAACTTGAATATCTGATTGGCAGTTCTAGAGAAACTTTGACTAATTCTTAAAGGAACTGATAAGTGTTGTGTAGATACAAAAGTGTGTAGACAGTACTGTACTTATGGGCCATTTAAGGAGTTTTTAAGATAATTTCAACTATATACAATTTTGCTTTACTGATTTGAGAACCTAGTGTCCCTTCTCTAACCTCTGAAAACATGACTCATCTATGTTAAGAGCGTTGCACCTGCTCTGTAGAGCTGTGTATTGGGATGGGCTTTCTAGAGCATGTGAGAAGAACGTGAAATCTTGATCACATGCTTCTTTTTTTTTTTTTTTAAGATTTTATTTATGTATTTGACAGAGAGAGATAGCGAGAGCAGGAACCACAAGTAGGGGGAGTGGGAGAGGGAGAAGCAGGCTTCCCACGGAGTAGGGAGCCCGATGCGGGGCTCAATCCCAGAACCCCAGGATCATGACTTGAGCCGAAGACAGACGCTTAATGACTGAGCCACCCAGGCGCCCCCACATGCCTCTTCTTGTGTCTTGAAGTTGGATAGGAATTGTTGACTGGGTGTAAAGACAATGGAAAAGGACAACTTTATTTAGGCCAGGTTTAGTGAACAAAAGTAGGTTTATATCTGTACTACAGAATAGTGTAATCAGCAGCAATAGTCTGCTGTGTAAAAAAAGTAATAGTAATGTTCCATAGCCTTTGTTTAGTGAAGAGGAGATATGCTGTGCCATCTGTTTTAGAAATAGTTTCTTTTTTTTTTTAAACATTTTATTTATTCATTTATTTGAGAGAGTGAGAGAGTGAGAGAGAGAGAGCACATGAGAGGGGGGAAGGTCAGAAGGAGAAGCAGACTCCCTGCCGAGCAGGGAGCCTGATGCGGGACTCGATCCCGGGACTCCAGGATCATGACCTGAGCCTAAGGCAGTCGCTTAACCAACTGAGCCACCCAGGCGCCCTAGAAATAGTTTCATCAAAAGCTGTAGCTTTATGGAAAGAACAGCCCTCTGTGGACGAGCCCAGCTCATGTGGGAGACTGATCTGATAGAAGAGGCTCAAGCACATCCCCCCGCTGGTGGCCCTGCTCAGACCTCAGACTCCGAAGTGTGAAGTGGGACTCCTCCCTCTCCCCTTGCCACGCCTGTTCCTCTCTGGACTTCCCCTGTCTTCTATTAATGTCCCTCTTCCTCCCAGTCAGCCAGGCTCAGATCCTCCCAGTCAGCTTTGCTGTCTGACCTCTCTGAACTGCTCTACACCCCTCTTCTGGTGGAGCATATGCTATGTTTGTCTTGAGGTCAAATTATTGGTGTTCTGCTCAATCACAGACTCTATAGAGTGGAGAAAAGTAGCACAGAATGAGGTCAGAGGACCCGCCTTCCAGTCTCAGTCCTGGCTAAGTGACCTTGGTCCAGCCCCTTAATGTCTCTGAGCATCAGTATCCTCATCAGAAGCAGATGGAGCCAATAATACCCAAGATTTCTTCCCTACGGGGTTGTTAATGAGGATCAGTGGCAATGTATGCAGAGACACTTGGAGCACTAGAAAGCACCACCTTGCTGAGATGTGGTAAGATGGAGATGTGTTCTGTAACGTGCCTAGCTCAAGACTTAGCACATAGTAGGTGCTTGATAAACTATGCCTGATGTGACAAAAGCCACAGCTTTTCATTGCATAGACATATGCATTAAAACAGATTGCAGAGAAAATCTGCTCTTCACTAAACCAGGCATAAGACAGGCGTAATTTAAGACAGCTGAATATAAACATAAACATCATTTGGTTCTGAACTGAGCTGCTGGTTCAGAATTTGGGGCAATGGCCAAGTGGAATATTGCTTCCTTCCCCTGGCCCAGATAACAGGATATTTGGGACACCCAAGGTTCTGTCTTTTTACATTCAAAGGTTAATCTCATCCATTAAGCACACAGATGACAAAATTAAGTAAGTCTTGTGCAACAATGGATCCCAAGTTGGCTTTAAGAAAACACAGTGTCTTATAAATGCAAACAGCCTCCGAGGGGGAGCTCATTCCTAAGAAACTGGGTTAATAGAATGTTTATTGCCCAAGAGCCATTCATGCCTTGAGTAAAGAGGTGCCTGGAATTCCCATCTGGGACTTATTAGT